CACTGTTCCCCAGCCAGCTGCTTGACTTACGATGTTTCTCTTTGCACATGTACAGTATTATGTGAAGCATCCGTATAGTCTGTATTTTTTTAATTTATGTATAAGTAAACATTTATATATATAGTATATTTACAGTCAAATCAGTCAGTAGGCTAGTTGTGTATAGGTTGTACTGTTTTACTTAATTGTTGTATGTCTGTATTTATGTAGCACCGTGGTCCTGTGAGACACGACATTTCGTTCCATTGTATGTCCCCACATGTAGCGGAATGACAATAAAGCTCAACTTGAACTTGGATGTAAAATTGTCTTTAGCAGTGAGTGGACACGCTACAATGTGTCCACCCTACAATGATGAAAATTCATTCACTCATTTTTTTTTAATCCCCCAAAAACCTAAACAGTCTCAATTATCAAGCCGTTTTGATTTTCTGAGCAAGATGATGTCATACTGTTCTGGCCCTGCCCATGACCGCTGACGGACTTCACTCATTTTTTTTTAATCCCCCAAAAACCTAAACAGTCTCAATTATCAAGCCGTTTTGATTTTCTGAGCAAGATGATGTCATACTGTTCTGGCCCTGCCCATGACCGCTGACGGACTGTCCAGTATTTGCATATTTACGTCCTCAGCCAGTTGTATGCTGTCCGCTGTTTTGGGATGAGCAGTAGCTCAATAGCATTTAAAGAGACATGCACCGAAACGGGTCTCTGTGTACAGAACTGTTTTTGACAAGGTAAAAAGGGTGTTGTTTTACACGACCTTTAAGGAATTTTAATAAAAGTATTTTGCAGACATTTCATGAAGACCCTAAAGAATTGTACCAACTTGTGGTGTGAACAGGCACGGCGCCAGAATTGTTTCTCTACCGGTCACTGGGTGTGAACCTACACTGGTCTCACGGTTCGGTTACGTTACGATTATCATGTCATCGATTTGAAGCAGCGCTGCGCAGGATGAGTGTATGACATCAACCGCGAAAGCATAAGGATCCGTCTGCTCTCTTATCGCTCTCGCGGTACTTGGTCATACACTGATCATTCTGCGCAGCGGTGCTTCAAAGCACGTATGCGAGAAATGACGTCAGAAAAGTATCAGTACGTTATAATCGGTTATGGTTATCCATCACACGCTTGAGGTATTCGGCCAATCACAACGCACTGGATAGCTGGCCAATCAGAGCACACCTCGCTTTTCAGACCGATGAGCTTTGTAAAAATCTACGCGTTTCAGAAAGGCGGGGCATAGAGGAGCAACAATAATGTACAGTATGTGGAAAATAATGTTTTTTTTTTTACTTTAAATCACATAAACACATTGCATTACACCAAATACACAAAATAATGTTCTTTTCAAGACTACTGAACAACTCCAATAGATGTAAACTAATCTAACACATAAACACACACTCACACATTCCCCCAAGTTGCAGAAAGAAAGTGAGGAAAGAATGAGCTTTAAGAGTAAGAAATCCCAAGTTTCTAGCGATGTATGCAATTTTCATGAGGCTATGGTTGTTGACTGAAGGATGGAAGTGGAGTCCTGTAGGCTGGTCAAAGTTTGAGGCGGGCAAAGACAAAGTAAGAGACACGGATTCCAGTCATGCAAGGAAGGAAAAGGTCAAAGGGAGTCTGGCTTTAGCTCTTTATCTTGAGGGAGGGAAATCCCACTTTTGCCTCATGATTTTCCCTGTTTGATTCAGAAGGCGTGTCTCCAGACCCATTTATCTTGGGTTAACTGCCTAAAGTTGACAACGCTGGAGGAGTTCTTTTAGGAGTTAGTTTATTCAGTCGTCCATAGAGGAGTAACTAGTTAGCTCAGGCTTTGTGGTGCCAACTGACAGGTCTCAGTTTTATGGTCGTCCAGTGTGAGACTCGGGGCCTTTTTGGTTGTTTTGGTTCTTTGCGCTGTTTTGACACAATTCAGATTAAGTCTTCAGTGTCTGATTCAGCCCCTCACGGACGACCGCCACATAAAAACATAATAAAGCACAACAAAGTCCAGGCCTGTCCTCTCTCTTCATGGACTGTCATCACTCCTCCTTTTATCCTTCCGGATCTCCTTCCATGAAACTCGCTCCGTTCCCACAGCTCTCGGCCCCTGCACTGTTTGCCACAATGATGTTAGAGGTCTTTTTGATATATGAAACACATTTCTCACTGAAGACACATGAAAGGTCTCTCTCCAGCACGAAGCCTCGTGATTATTAAGGGTTGCTTTATGTCTGAAGCTCTTTCCACTGATCACATGTAAACAGCTTCTCACTAGCGTGACTGTTCATGTGATAGCTAAGGTTTAGTTTTGTCGTGAACTTCTTCCACACAGTTCACAGGTTTAATGCTTCTCTCTGGTGTGAATTCTCATGTGCCTGTTAAAGCTTGTTTGTCGTGTGAAACTGTTTCCACACTGAACACATGTGAACGGCTTCTCTCCAGTGTGAACTCTCTTGTGCCTGTTAAAGTTTCCTCGTTGAGTAAAACTCTTTCCACACTGAGGGCAGGTGTAAGGCTTCTCTCCACTGTGAACTACCATGTGCCTTTTAAGGTTTCCCTGTTTAGGGAAACTATTTAATCCCCATTGTAACACGGAAACTGTGCCTATTAAAGCGTATCTTTTACATCACAAACAGTCTGTAAGATTCAACTTTTCCCCATGGTCTAGTGTTAAAAAAAGCAAACAAAAATCACAATATATTGCAATAATTGTATAATTCATATATAGGATAGAATACAAATCAATTCAGCACCCAAGTATTGTGATAGTACTGTTTTCTGAGATAAGCGTATCATCCCAGCCTTACAACAAAACTAAAAGCCCATGAAAATGACACCAAAACCAAGACTAATCGTGACAAATAGCTAATGAATTGTTGCTGTTTCAGTTAATGATTTCAGTCCTCCTGTGTATCAATACTTTGATCTAGTGCCAGTTTATATTGCAGATCTATTTAAAACTCTTTCCACACAAAGAACAAATAGGATCTCACATATGCTTTTCAGGTGTATTTGTGTGATGGCAAAAAAAACTTTTATTACACTGATCATAATTAAATCGCCTTCTTCCAGAGTGAATGTGCAGGTCATTTCTGAAATAGCTCCGTTTTGTAAACCTCTTGTCACACTGAGGAGCATGGCAATGGCTTTCCAGAATGAGTTTGTAAATGATGTTTGAGGTCTTTCTGATTTGTGAAACACATTTCATACAGACACGTGAAAGGTCTCTCTCCAGCGTGAAGCCTCGTGCTTATTAAGGGTTACTTTATTTCTGAATTTTTTTCCACACTAATCAAATGTAAACAGCTTCTCGTTAGTGTAACTGTTCATGCTATAGCTAAGGTTTAGTTTTGTTGAGAAGTTCTTCCACACACTTTGTGGGAATTGAATGCTTCTCTCCAGAGTGAATCCTCATGTGCCTGTTAAAGCTTCCTTGTTGAGTAAAACAGTTTCCACACTAAGGGCATGTACACGGCTTCTCACCGGTGTGAATCCTCATGTGCGTTTTAAGGATTCCTTTTTCATTGAAACTATTTCCACACTGTTGGCAGGTGAAAGGCTTCTCTCTGGTGTGAATTCTCGTGCTTGTTTAAGCTTCTTTGCTGAGTGAAACTGATTCCACACTGAAAACATGTGAACGGCTTCTCTCCAGTGTGAATCCTCATGTGCCTTTTAAAGTTTCCTTGTTGAGTAAAACTGTTTCCACACTGAGGGCATGTGAAAGGCTTCTCTCCCGTGTGAATTGTCATGTGGTTTTTAAGGTATCTTTTTTGAATGAAACTCTTTCCACACTGTTGGCAGGTGAAAGGCTTCTCTCTGGTGTGAATTCTCATGTGCTTGTTTAAGCTTCTTTGCTGAGTGAAACTGATTCCACACTGAAAACACGTGAACGGCTTCTCTCCAGTGTGAATCCTCATGTGCCTTTTAAAGTTTCCTTGTCGAGTAAAACTGTTTCCACACTGAGGGCATGTGAAAGGCTTCTCTCCCGTGTGAATTGTCATGTGGTTTTTAAGGTATCTTTTTTGAATGAAACTCTTTCCACACTGTTGGCAGGTGAAAGGCTTCTCTCCAGTGTGAATTCTTATGTGGTCATTAAGAGTGTTTTTATGTGTAAAATTATTTCCACATTGAGGGCAGGTGAAAGGCTTCTCTCCAGTGTGAACTATCATGTGCCTTTTAAGGTTTCCCTTTTTAGGGAAACTATTTCCATACGGTTTGCAGGAGTAAGGCTTCTCTCCGGTGTGAATTCTCATGTGGACTTGAAGTTTTCCACGTTGATCAAAACTCTTTTCATATTGTTGGCAGGTGAAATGACATCTAGTTCCAGTATTTTGAGCCCTTTTTCGTGTCAAAGTCTTTGCAATCTGTGAGCAACTATATGATTTTTGTCCAGTTACGAAATCATGTTTCTTAAACTGATCTTTGTCTTGTATTTCATTCAGTTCTTCACTCTCTTCTTTCAGATCTTGGGTGAAAAGAGATAAATACAAGTTAAAAGGGCCAAATCTGCCATTTTTTTCCCAAAAAAAAAAAAAAGGAGTGTCAAACTCAGCTCCTTGAGGGTCACAGTCCTGCATAGTTCAGCTCCAACCTGCTGCAAACCTACCTTTAGTTTTCAAGTAATGAAGACCTTGACTGAGGTGTGCTCAATTAGAGTTGAAGCTAAACTCTGCAGTGTTGTGGCCCTCCAGGAACTGAATTAGACATCCCTGGTATAAAATATTAGAAGATTATTATCCTCACCCAACAAGCAAACTATATGTTAAGAGTTATGTGAACTACCCCCAAACTAACACCCTCTGGTTACTGTGGTAACAAGACATGACATTAAGAACGTGTCGCTGAGTTACAAGTGGCCCAGAGAGTTTTGGACATTATTGCTTCAATGTGTGTTAACAGGGAGAGCACAGGATGTGCATTCAGCGCTGACTGTTGAGCAAAGCAGTGATTATAAAACCGTTGAAACTGCATTATTGCAAGCGTATGAATTAGCACCTGAGGCATATTGCCAGAAATGTAGAATTTTTTAAAACCTGAGAAGAGCACTTATCTTGAATTATCCAGAGAAAGAGAGAACATGTTTGATCGTTGGTGTAACCCAATGAAAGTAACTACTAAAGCACACCTCAGGGAGTTGATTCTTTTGGAAGAGTTTAAACATTGCGTACCGAATGCTGTTGAGATAAGGTGAGTAAATTGTCAGATGCTGCTCTCATGGCTGATGAATTCGTCCTTACTCACCGAGGTTCGACTAGCCATTTAAATTATTCTTATAATGTTAGACCTAAGATGAGTGTTTTAAATAAGAGCAAAGTGACTGTAATACGTCAGAATGTTGTTTCTAGTTCTTCTACTGAACATGCTGTCGCTAATGCACGCATGAAAGGAGAGATTGTGTGCTTCTATTGTAAAAGGGCAGGACATAAAATTTGTGATTATACGGTTCTTAAAAAGAAAGAGAAATCTGCTAAAACTGTTGGTTTATTCTCTTCATTATGTGAGAACCATAGTCCTGTCCAAGTTGTACAAAAACAAAACAAGTAGAGGGATATCTCTGAGGTGGAGATTGAGAATGTGAAGAGTCATAGTGATTATGCACCATTTCATACAGAGGGGACTGTGTCTTTGCCTGGCTCCGAGAAGAATGTTCTGTCCAAGTTGTACAAAACAAAACAAGTAGAGGGATATATCTGAGGTGGAGATTGAGAATGTGAAGAGTCATAGTGATTATGCACCATTTCATACAGAGGGGACTGTGTCTTTGCCTGGCTCCGAGAAGAATGTTCCTGTTTGTATCCTTCGAGATACTGGGGCCACGCAGTCCTTTTTACTGGAAGGACACCTGCCTTTGTCTGATAGTACTGCTACTGGAACCCGCATACTGGTGAGAGGGTTTGAGATGGGGTTTTGTAGAAGTTCCTTTACACCGTATACATCTCACCTCAAAACTTGTGTCAGGTAATGTTGTCGTTGGAGTTCGTGCAGTGCTACCTGTTTCTGGTGTCACCTTTATACTTGGCAACAATTTAGCAGGAGAAAATGTGTGGGAAAAGCCAGATAGTAGAAACAATAGTAGTTTCTATTGTAAAGAAAATGGATGACTCCTCTAACTGTCCTAACTTATTCCCTGCTTGTGCGATCACTCGAACCAAGGCTAAGATGATGATATTGGATGAAAAGGAAAGTTCTTAGTGACACTTTTTTTTCTTCTGTGAATTCCTCCCAGCCAGAATTTAGTGTTGTGGTCACTAATATTGAAGCTAATAGTTCTATGTCTATTTCTATGTCTATATCTACAGCCTGTTGTTGACGACAAGGTGGAAAAGTATGGTTCCATATCTGAAAATCCATTTCATTGTGATGGCCATGATGATGTTTGTTCTTTGTCTCCACTTTATAGTGTCACTCAATGAAAATTAGGTAAATCTCAAGAGAAGATGCGGAGATTGTTCGACTGCAAGGTTAAATTCAGAGATTTTCAAGTAGGTGACAAAGTGTTGGCTTTATTACCCATTTTGACTAGTCCTTTCCAGGCTAGATTTACTGGACCTTATAGGGTTGCAAAATGTTTTCCCAATAACAACTATTTACTAAATACGCCTCATCACCGGAAGAAATTACAGGTTTGTCATATTAATTTATTAAAATTTATGTGACTGTAACCTCTTTGTCTGTTGATATTGTATCAACTACTTTATCTGATGGTCAGGGCACTTCAGAAGTATCTGAAGAAACGGTGAGAATTTAGGTCCAGTAGATACAGGGGAAATTAAGGGATCTTCTCGAGAAGTAGTGGAAGGAAGACTTAACAATTCTGAAATCTTTGCTAATCTTACTCATCATTTGTCATCATCTGATATCCCTACTCGAACTCATGTCATTGAGCATGACATTAACATTGATATGGATGTTGTTTTACAGGTTGCGCTGTTCCAGTGTTGGCTGTTCAACATTTTGAGGTTTATTTGAGCTAAATTTGTGGACCCATTATTGTGTACACTGATCACAACTCTTTGACCTTCTTGGGCCGAATGCGTGGTAAAAACCAAAGAATTATGAGATGGAGTCTTATTTTACAATCTTTCCACCTACAGATCAAACATATACGTGGCAAAGATAATCTGATTGCCAGTGCTCTTTCACATGTGTAAAGGTTTATGTGTAGTGTCTGCGGTGTCTTTCCCTCTCTCTGATGTCCTAGGGCCCAGGAGATCTGAGGGTGAAATAGAGCGGGATTGCAGAGATGAGTATCACCGGCCTTAATGTATCTTCTTGTGGGATGTTTATGTTTTTTTGTTTGTTTCTTTTAATTTTTTTCTTCCCTTTTATCGGTTCTTTAGGGAACCTCTTTTTGGAGTGGGAGGTGTTACGACCCTGAATGTCCTCCTCATGTATTGGTGGTAGATTGTGGGAGTTTTGAGTCACTTCCCCTCCCCCTTTTTAATTGATAATTAGGGGAGTAGAGTATATAAGGACTCTGAGTGCTCATTTAAAGGGACACTCCCTGTGGACACAGATCTCAGGAGTGGCTCTTGATCAGAATGTGATATCTCACTAGGTACGTTTACATGGACACTACCATCCATGTGCTACCATCGGAATGAATTCATTCTGATTGACGAATCCGAACATAGTGTTTACATGAACGCTAAATAAAGTGATCGGGTTGATATGCGCGTTTATATGTCACAAGTTTCTGATCGATTTAATCTTTTGACATGAGCACACTGCATGAATATACAGGTTTTTTTTTCTTCTAGCTAACGCGTTAAGGCGAGCTAAGATTATTCTACTCACCATGTCGGGGTCCAAGGTCGCAGCGGAGAAAGGGAAGGATGTCCCTTCGCGCTCGTGTCCGGCAGCTTGTGGATTTATGATCTCGGGCAGGGATTCGCATCCGATGTGTATCGCGTGCATGGGTGTTAAGCACTCAGGCCGCACTGGCGGATGCGGAGAGTTGCGCGCATGTCGTGTAATGCCGGCCAGGATCTTGGAAAGAAAGCTTCGGGTGGCTGTATCTTCTAAAGACGATCCGGTTCTATCTTCTGTCCCTCCTTCGACAAAGGGGGTCCAACCCTCTCCCCCACGGGATCTTTCTTCGTGGGGGGATATTATGGATTCAGAGTCTCCTGAGTTTACGCCGCTTTTCGACCAGCAGCTGCTTGCGGAAGGCGATGATGAGGAGATGTTAGCTCGTCTCCTCCGAGAGGAACCGGATGATGAGGAGGATGACGCTATCCTGTCTGCAGCACAAGCGTCCAGGCCCGTGAGCGCGCAAAGTGGCGACGTGGCGTAGACGGTGGTGGATTGTGACCTAGTGGAAGTTTGTAAGCGTGTGGCAGCTAAGCTTGGCATCGCTTGGCCCGTAACTCCTGGGGATCCGGGAGTTAAACGTGACATCTATGATGGGAAAAGGCTTCCTTCTCGCCTTCCACAGGCGAAACAACTGCTTCCCGCTTTGCCGGCGTGTGTAGCAGAGATGAAGCGATCGTGGGACAAACCCTTTTCTCATCGTGTGCCCGTCAAGGGATACTCGTCGCTCGATGTGAGTGAAATGGAAGGGCTTGGGCTCTCTAACCCTCCCACGGTCGAGCAGTCAGTGGCTCACCACCTGCATCCAAACAGGCGAACCACTCTCTCATCTGCTAGTCCCTCCCTCCCTGGGAAAATGGAACGCTTCACCGCTTCCATGTACCAAAAAATGTATAAATCCTCAGCAATGGCGGTGCGGGCACTTAACGTCACTTCGTTGTTGACGGCCTATCAAGCCGAGTTGTTGGAGGAGCTTGGCACTCAGCTGGACGTCGGCAATCCAAACCCGGGGGTCTGGGAGGAGATCTGCAACATAACAGATCTCAATCTACACACCTCACGTGGCGCGGTGCAAAGCTGCGGCCGTACCATGGCTTTTGCCGTTGCGGGCGAGAGGTTGCTGTGGCTAAATCTATCGGGTGTCGGGGACAGAGAGAAGTTAGATTTTCTCGACGCTCCTGTGGATTCGAGTGGATTGTTCGGCCCAGCCGTTGCGGCGATGAGACAGAGGTGCGACCTCCAGAAGAAGGAAGGCGAGGCGTTTGACATGTAAAAGAGCACCACGTCCTCCTGTTCCCCCGCGTCCTGTTCCCCCGACGCAGAACAGGAGGTTTTTGAATGCGTCCAGGACTGCAAAACCCCAGAGCACGGAGCAGGCGGCTCGCTAAACCATGGGGAAAGCAGTCATTCGCGGCGGCGGCTGCCAGGTCCAAGTCCGCTAACCCTTCTAACAAAAAGAGGAGGGATACCTAGGATGCAATCTCTGCATGGGAGGGATAGGCAGCACCTAGGGTTCTCATTGATGTCCTCTCCCAAGCCCACCATATCTGTTCCCCCACCCACGAAGAAGATGAAGATGTGGAGTTTGGGTGGAAAAATGGTTCTAAGTTGTGTTCAGGCCAGTTCAGCTTCCCCTCAACACACAATGTTCCGTCAAGTTCAAGTGCAGAATACTCAGCCACCAAGAGAATGTGGTCTGATGGGTACAAGCACAAGTTCTCAAGTGTATTGTCACAAAGCACTTCAGCCTCTGGGTTTAAAGCAAATAAAAAATTATCTGTTGCATCCAGGCTCAATGCCGAGGGCACAGGGAGACAAAAACAAAATAATAACAATGAACCAAGAGAAAAATCGGTCTCTGAGTCACACAGATCCTGGCCGTTTTTCTCTCTGTCCACTAGATGGCGCCAGCACTCCATCTATGGAATCGGTTCAGCTGAACACTCTGGCTCTTTATCAGGAGGCTTGGAGAGAGTGTTCCGCACATCCGTGGGTCCTCGCGACTGTAATATAGGGTTACAGGCTTCAGTTCACTGTAAAACCCCCTCCTTTCAACGGGGTCATAACATCTGTAGCAAATGGGGATTCAGCTCGGGTGTTAGAAGCAGAAATATCCTCCCTCTTAGAGAAAAGAGCTATAAGACGAGTTCCAGTGGGGGAAACTCAGAAAGGCTATTACTCCCGTTATTTTCTAATTCCAAAGAAAGACGGGGGTTTGCGCCCAATAATGGACCTACGGGCTCTAAACAAGCACTTGATGAAGTACAAATTCAAGATGCTCTCACGCGCACAATCCGTCGGAACGATTGGTTCACTGCGGTCGATCTCAAGGATGCTTACTTTCATATAAGCATCTATCCGGCTCACAGGAAATATCTCAGGTTTTCCTTTCAGAGCGAAGTGTCTTTGTGGGGGGATATTATGGATTCAGAGTCTCCTGAGTTTACGCCGCTTTTCGACCAGCAGCTGCTTGCGGAAGGCGATGATGAGGAGATGTTAGCTCGTCTCCTCCGAGAGGAACCGGATGATGAGGAGGATGACGCTATCCTGTCTGCAGCACAAGCGTCGTGGCGTCGACGGTGGTGGATTGTGACCTAGTGAAAGTTTGTAAGCGTGCGGTTTTCCTTTCAGAGCGAAGTGTACGAATTTGTTACTCTTCAATTTGGGCTCAGCCTCGCTCCTCGTGTGTTCAGCAGGTGCATAGAGACAGCGTTATCACCTCTGAGACACAAGGGGCTCAGAATATCTGCTTATTTGGCCGATTATCTGATATGCGCTCACTCGCGGGAGCGCGCGGAACGGAACACAGAGATGCTCACGTCTCATCTAATGAGTCTGGGGTTCAGAATCAACTATGCCAAAAGCCAGCTGATTCCATCTCAGGAGATAGAGTCTATTCGTAAGCCCAGATACTCTGTGGAATACCGCGCTATGCTCTCGGAAAGGAGGATAATGGCGTTTTATCAGTGCCTGGCTCAGTTTCGCAAGGGAAATTTGGTATCGTTCAGGACCTGTCTCCGCCTTTTGGGCATGATGGCTTCGTCGCTGTCCGTGGTCCCGCTAGGTTTGCTGAAAATGAGAGACTTCCAGCGATGGGTAGCAGAGAGACGTCTGTGTCCTCGTCGGCACCTCGCGCGCAGAGTAAGAATACACGCGGAGTGCGTGATGGCTCTTCATCAGTGGAGAGATCCCTGTTTATTCCAGACAGGGGTTCCCTTGGGAATGAAGGGGGTGAAGCGTTTGAGACCAGTATCTAAGCATCTGGTCCAGTCATGGGACTTGTCCATGGTTCTGAATGCTTTAACTCGAGCCCCATTTGAACCTCTGGAGAGTGTGGATATTAAGCTCCTATCTCTGAAAATGGTCTTACTACTTGCTTTAATCTCAGCTAAGCGAGTGTGTGAGTTACATGCTTTGTTGGTTCATCGGGCATGTCTGGATTTTAGTCCGGATAACAGCAAGGTTACGTTACTGCCTAACCCGGTGTTCGTTCCCAAAGTCAGTGATTCAGCTTATAACTGCTCTGCTTTGGAGTTGCGTGCCTTTTACCCCCCTCCTTTTTCTTCTTCGGAGGAGCAGAAATTGCACACTTTGTGTCCTGTACGAGCGGTATGCTATTATGTAAACAGGACACGATCGTTCAGGAAGAATGATCAGT